GGACAGGGACGGCACAGGGTTAGATACAGAGTAAAGCTGACTCTACACAATCTAAGATTTCAGGTTTTCTATGGACTGGATAGAACCAGTAGACTACCAGAAGTAGAAATGGATTCTGAGGAGGATCTGTTTGATAAATCGGCCTTAAAGTGTTTGTCGTGACACATACACATGTATTACATTTCCCACAAGACGCAACAGAATTAGATGTCTTTAAATCAAACAATGGCACTTTGCCATTCGCAAATTGGCGACAGATCACAATCTCGTAGTTGACTGTAAGATTTAGGGTTGGGAGTGGGCGATCAGCGAGTGGGTCATTCTGTGAACTGAGACAGTCTTCCTCAATCTTTGGCCTCCCAAGCAAATCCCTGTGAGCTGTCTGCAGCAACTGGGTTTGTTAGATTAATGGAAGCAGCTTGAATCATTCACTGTTGAGGACTGACATAGTCAGAAGCCACATGATGCCAGGTTAATTGAAATCACAAGCTTTTTCAACGCTGCTCCTTCATCAGGTGAAATCCTCCAGCGTCCGAAGGACAGACATGTACTCTGGACACTCATGGTAGCAACAAAAAGTGGTGCATTTACATAGAGCCTTTCAAGACACCAGGACTTCTCAAAGCACCAGCACACTTTGGTTTGAAGTTGTACAGTAGAAAGCAAGGATGGGGTTTTAACAGAGTGAGGCTGAGAGTGTGTGGGTGAGAAAGCCACAGTAAATACACCCAGGTGATCGTTTCAGATTCCTGCAGTCAAAGCAGTGGGACCAGAACTCTTCAATTTAAAGTAAATTTTAAAACAATCTAAAACAGACACAGAAAGAATTTTTTTTATCAAAGAGCGATAAAGGCTTGGAATAATCTGTCAGACATGGCACTCAGTTACACTCAGTCACTGGGTTTTATGATATTGCTGGATGCTGGGTTGTGTGAGGGAGGATTTGAAAGGACTGAGCTCGAATGGCTTTTTCTCATTCAAGATTATTATCCAATTTTGTGACCGGCACAGGGATAAAAATCCAATATTATGACACAAGGACCAAATATCTCCTAGATGACAAACTCCCAACGGTCTCTGATGAGAAAACACAACCTGACGCATTTATTCATTTTTTATTTTCCCCTCTCTCCACAGACGCTGCCAGACCTCACAGTTATAGAGTCATACAGCTTAGAAACAGGCCCTTCGGCCCATCATGCCTATACTGACCAACAAACACCAACCTACACTTATCCCATTTACCTGCACGTGGTCCATATCCTACTGTGCCCCACCATTGTAAGTGCCTATCCAGATGCTTCTGAAATATTGCTCGAGTACCTGCCTCCACTACCCTCTCATGCAGCACGTTCCATATTTCTACCGCCCTCTGGGTGAAAAAATATTTCCTCAGGTCTCCTCTAAACCACTTGTTCCTCACCTTAAATGTATGCCCTCTGGTCTTAGACACGTCTGCCATGGGGAAAAGATTCTCACGATCTACTCTGGCTATGACTCTCATAATTGTGTTTCCCTCAATCAGATCCCCCCTCAGCCTCCTCTGCTCCAGGGAAAACAAACCCAGCCTTATCCGGTCTGTCCTCATAACTGAGACTTTCCATCCCAGGCAACATCCTGCTGAATCCCCTCTGCACCCCGTCCAGTGCAATCACATCCTTCCGATAATGTGGTGACCAGAGCTGCATACAGTATTCCACCTGTAGCCTCAGCAATGTTTTATAAAGTTGGAACAAGATTTCCTTGCTCCTACATTCTCCGCCCCGGCTAAGGAAGGTAAGCATCCTGTGTGCGTTTTTCCCCCCACCCTGTCTCCTTGTACTGACACCTTCAGGGATCTATGGGCTTGTACACCAAGGTCCCCTTGTTCCTCAGCACTCCCCAGGGACCCAGCATTCATTGTGTAAATCCTTCCCTTGTTAACCCTCCCAAAATACATCATCTTATACTTATCAGGATTAAATTCCATCTGTCATTGCTCTGCACAATTTACCAACTGATCAATATCAGACTGTAGCCTGAGACCACCCTCTTCACAGTCAACAACACCCACAGATTTTCGTATAACCTGCTGAGTTTCTCCAACATTATCTGTTTCTATCCCAAAGGGTGACTCCTGTTTACATTTCACTCACCTGCTCTCTTGGCTTCAAGTAGGAAAGCATTCCCATAATCCCAGAAAAACATCCCTTTCTCCGACAGTTTGTTGATGGCAGTTACTTGTTGCAACAGGCTTTGATAAAGGAAAGAAGTGGCTTAACATCGAAATATTGTACAAACATGGCACGCCCCACACTGAAATATCACCTTCATCAACAGGAAAGGAAAGAACATCTGGAGAAAAGGCCATTTGGCCCACAAAACCACTGTTGTAAATGGTCCCATGTACACTCTCCCCCCATCACCGACTCTACCCCCCCCCCTTTCCCCCCCCCCCACATCCCTGTGTCCACTCTCCGCCCATCACTGACTCTACCCCACCCACTTAATCTTCTCTGAGAAGGGTGTCACTACTCGTGACCTTTCCCCTTGGTGGTGGGATATATTCCATGGTTCTTTCCTTTCACACTGCCTTACCTTTCCTGGACAAGACGGCGGAATGTTTTCGGGTCAGCGTGCATCATCTGATTGGCTGCCTCGAATGTGAGCTGTGCAGGGTAGTAACCTCCACTGAAAGGGTTGTGACAGGAAGTCTGATCCGAGCCCAGGTCCACCAGGAGCTCTCCAGTCTGCTCACTCTCCTGCACCAGCCGTTCCCTGTCAGTGCAATGTCATTTCAAAAATATACTTTATTCATAAAATATCTTTACATATATACACAGTCCCTAAGGCAGTTCGGTCCTGTACAGTAGCATATGGAAAAACAAACAAACCTTGGCGTTTGACTCTGTCTAGCCAACAAAACAAAGTCATTTGCTTCTTGTACAAGAGTACATTTGCATATATTTGAGGCAATGGGAGGGTCCAATAACTGAACAGACCCCCATTTACCTTCAGTAGGAAGACCTCAGGCAGTGGTCTTTCCCCACTGTGCCCCAAACTTTAATGCGTCCCTCAGCACGTAGTCCTGGGCCCTGGAATGTGACAGTCTGCAACACTCCGTCAGGCTCAGCTCCTTGCTCTGGAAGACCAAAAAAAAGCTTCCCCCCGGCCCAGGACGAAGTAGTAACAAATGCCTTTCATTTATTTGCTGGATAGAGTCAACCTCCAAGGTTTGTGTAAAAATCGAAAGAACTGCGGGCACAGGAAATCAGGAACAATATCAGAAATTGCTGGGAAAGCTCAGCAGGTCTGGTAGCATCTGTGGAGAGAAATCAGAGTTAACCTTTCAGTTTGAGTGACCCACCAAGGTTTGTTTGTTTCTTCATATGTTACAGCACAGAACTGAACCACTTTAGTGGCTATTTATGTATAAAAAAGATTTTTATGAATAAAGTACATTTTTAAAACAAAAATAAGTCTGTGCAATGTGATTGTTTTTGTAGACCTCGACACTATCTGCTCCTGCAGCACACCTTGCAATACCATGGGGTTTCGGAGAACCTTCTGAAGAAGGGTCTCAATCCGAAACGCCAGCTTTCCTGCTCCCCTGATGCTACCTGGCCTGTTGTGTTCCTCCAGTTCCACACTGTGTTGTCTCTGACTCCAGCATCGGCAGTTCTTACTGTATTCTCATCTTCACCACCCTGTTTTGCTCCACACCCCTTCCCTGGCACCAGTGCCATCCTTTCAGCCAGCTGCTCCCCAGTTTGCTGATCCCTGCTGCCGTCTGCCGATAAACCCTGGATCTTGAGATTTAACTCCTCACAGATCCCTGTTGGCCTTCACCTTGTGATCTCACTCCCTCATTATTAATTTCTATCCCCTCACCCTCCTTCATCACAAAAAACTGATACTGACTCGCTGTCTACATCTCTCAATATCTGACAGATTCTCTATAACATTGATCTAGAGATACACTGAGGTTACAGCGCAGCGACAGGCCATTCAACCCATCAGTCTGTGCTGGATTTTACCCTCCAGATGAGCAAGGAATCCCAATCACACTTGCCAATAGCTCCCTCCCCACTGCTCCCTGTTCTCATCTCTCCTCAACCACCCTCCATCACCTTTCCCTTATACAGCTTTACAAACTCCCAGTCTCAACTCCAATTTTCAATATTGTCCCAGTTTCAGACCCATCCACAATCCTCACCACTCTCTGTATGTGAGGGCATTTCTCCAATTTCTCAGTTTGAAATCTTGGGTATTTAATGTTATGGCGATAGCCTCCAGACCCCCCTCTTTGTTAACGACCCCGTGACAATTAGACACCACCTGCTTTTATCTATCCTGACACATCACTTGCTTCTGTTTAAAAACTGTCATCAGGTTGTCCCTTGATCATAGAGTTCTAATAAGAACTGACCTAGAATAAAGAGTGACTTAAATGAGGAGAATGAGGTAGAGGGACAGAAAGGTTTGGGGAGGGAATTCCAGAACTTGGGACTGAGGTAACTGAAGGTACAGCTAGCAATGATAGAGTGATTGAACTTGTGAAAGCGTAAGTGGTCAGAATGCAGAGATAGGGAGGGGTGTAGGGGCTGGACAGGGTGACAGAGATAGGGAGGGGTGTAGGGGCTGAGGGAGGTTACAGAGATAGGGAGGGGTTTAGAGGCTGGAGGAGGTTACAGAGATAAGGAGAGGTGTAGCGGCTGAGGGAGGTTATAGAGATAGGGAGGAGTTTATGGGCTGGAGGAGGTTACAGAGATAGGAAGGGGAGTAGGGCATGGAGGAGGTGACAGAGATAGGGAGGGGAGTAGGGGCTAGAGGAGGTTACAGAGATGGGGAGGGGTGTAGGGGCTGGCGAGAAGTGTGACGGAGATGAGGAGGGGTGTAGGTCAGTGGATGTAGAGATGATTGGGGAATGAGGCAGACTGGGCAGGAGTGTGTTAGAATTGTCCAGTCCAGTGGTAACAATGAGAGAGGTGAGGGTTTCCGCAGTGGATGAGCTTAGACCGGGGCAGGATTGGGTGATAATACAGAGTGGCATAAAGGTGGTTTCACTGATGGCACAAATCTGAGGTTGGAATGTTGTGTTAGGGAGATGAAACGTGACACTGGGATTGCAAGCAGACAGCTGGAAGCTGGCAGCGAGAGGGGATGGAATCAGTGGCTTGGGGTCAGTTCCTGTGGTTCTGTGTCTGCCAATTCTAGCATTCTGTCCATGTGCAACTCATAATCCAGGACAGCAAAAAACATTTGCATTTATATAGCAACTTTCACCACCTCAGGATATCCCGAAGAATTTAAAAAGCTAATGAACCACATCTGAAGTGTGGTCACTGCTGGAATGTAAGAAAACGTGGTGACCAATTTGTGCACAGCGAGAACCCAAAAGACCTGACATACCTCTCTGCAAGTGAGAAGCAGCATTGAAACACAAGTTGTTGTTGTTTTGAAAGAAATTAGCAGCGGATAAATTAACAGCGGATATAAAGCTGGTAAAAAGGCAAGCGAGCAAGTAGAAAGGCAAGAAGGTTATGCTAAACTGTTCTGAATCAATGAAATTCAGAAAGCAAACATTATAAATGACAGCCCATAGATCAAAGACCAGAAACTTTCCTTGTCTTCAGAACCTAATCTCTGGCACCTACCAGAGGTCCACCACGTTACCATGATAACCAAGACTGAGGGCTGTCTTCTTTTGTCGAGCCTCCCTGAAATTCAGAAAAAGAACAAAAGTTGAGTTCATCCAGTTTAAAAGTTTACATTTTGGATTTACCTACCGATCTGGTGGGATTGGCTAAAATATCACAGCCAGAGGTGGGGAGGGCAGTTTGTTGTATTATATTGTGAATCTCAGCAGGTGCTGCCCCTTTAAGAGTGCTGTATACAACATGTGACTCTGTAAGTACAAAATGTCAGTCAGATAGTCTTGTAAATCAGTACACTCTGGTTCAGTCAGTTCACTATTTATATGATGTAATAAGAAGCAAAATAACCACAATGTTTGTGTAAGTCTGAAGTAGTGCTCCATGTACATGTTCATAAACATAGATGAGTGCAGCTCCAACAACACTCAAGAAGCTTGACACCATCCAGGACAAAGCAGCCCACTTGATTGACATCTACAACATCCCACTCCCTCCACCACCGACGCTCAGTAGCAGCAGTGTGTATTATCTACAAGATGCACTGCAGAAATTCACCAAAGATCCTCAGACAGCACCTTCCAAACCCACAACCATTTCCATCTAGAAGGACAAGGGGCAGCAGATACATGGGAACACCACCCCCTGCAAGATTGCCTCTAAGCACTCACCATCCTGACTTGGAAATATATCACCGTTCCTTCACTGTCACTGGGTCAAAATCCTGGAATTCCCTCCCTAAGGACATTGTGGGTCTACCTTTAGCAACATAGAAATATATCACTGTTCCTGATTACTTGCTGTAACTGCAGACTAACCTTCTGTGACAGTGCACTGGTACACCAAGATCCCTCTGCAGCTCAGAGCTCTGCAACCTCTCCCCATTTAGATAGGATGCTTTGTTTTGATTCTTTCCACCAAAATGAACAATAGCACACTTTCCCATTGTATTCCATTTTCAAGATCTTTGCTCACTCACTTAACTTATCTATATCACTATGTAGGCTCCTTAAGTCCTGTCCACAACTTGTAGAGCTGCAGGAGGTTAGACCAATAACTGGTGAGGCTGTGGAGGAATTTAACTGCAAGGAGAAGATTTTTAAAAACGTGCTTTACTGGACAGGGAGCTGATGAAAGTCCGTGAGCACAGGAGGCGATAGATGAACTGGACCTTATGTGAGTTAGGACACAGGCAGCAGGAAAGTGGAGCTAAGGCCACAATCAGATCTTAGTGAGTGGCACAGCAGAATTGAGGGGCCGAATGGCCCACGCTTGCTTGTATTTTTTGTGAAGTATCTGATCAGCTGCAGTTCACAAACAGCGGAAGAATGAGAACAGTACAATGTAGAGAAGACAGAGTGAGAGAGAGAAAAAGAGAGAGAAGGATGATGGGGATGTAGCTGAAATTAATTTCCATTTAAAGTCATCCACCCAGTTTACATGATCTTCCCATTGAGCTCTCTGGCAGACAATAATCCCACCATTTATGGAAGGACCTGACTGAGGAAGGGATGAGGCTGCAGAGACACTAGCAAATCAAACAGAGAAGGGGAAAAGGAAACAAGGAGATGGAGAGGGAGAAGGAGAGAAGGAGATAGAGAGAAAAGAAAGGTAACTGACAGCGGCAGAGGGCTAAAAGAGACCAAATTCACACTGTTTCTGAGCCTGCTTGAATTGAAGTAGAGAAGCCCCCCTCCGCCGTGGGCTCCACCTTATGTGGTTGGACATAATTAATGTGAAAGGAACTTATGCGATTCCTTTCACAACTGACACGCAACAGCAAGTGGATGTTTCACAAAAACATTCCATCTGTCTAATCCACTTTTCCTTCACATCTAACATTAAAGGAATGTTTCCGTCTGCTGCATCAATTCCAGACATACTGTCGGTACCGCGGGCACTCCGTTGCTGGGTGCCTACAATCCCTTTAGCCCAGTTACAAAAACCAAGGCATTGCCTGATCAGGACACATTGTGTGAGAGTGCACGCCATCCCAACAGAGCCAGTTATCATACCACGTTCCAATCTCTGCTTTAGACTCCTGGTTCACCGGTCCATCGTTTCTGGGGACGGTGGGACCTGAACAATTTCCAACGGATTGCACCTGAATTGGAATGGGACCAACATCCTCCCGGGGATGTTTGAGAATGCAGTCCGGGGTGGGGTTAAACTGATTTGGTAGCGGAATGGGATACAGAGTGGAGGTACACTAGGGAGTGATGCACAAACATGTTTTGAAGACAAACCAAGTCAGTTTGGAAAGCAGTGAGAGTACAAGACAAGTAAAGGCAGAATGGCAAAACTAGATGGCATGTATCTGAATGCAAGAGGTTTTGTGAGTAAGGCAGGTGAGTTGAGGGTTGGTTATCCCCCAGGGATGTGGGATATCACAGAGACACTGTTGAGGTTTGGAAACTCAGTATTCCAGGATCTAGAATACTTAGTGAAGGGGTTTGGTGGTTGCAGGGCAGGGGAGGGGAGTGTAAAAGAGGAGGTGGTGCCACAATATTCATCAACAAATCAATTACTGCAGTGAGGAGTGTTATGGACCGGACCAAACCCCCTTCAAATCTATCACGGAACTAACCTAGACCCTAACATTTATCTTATTTAAAGGCAAGTGTGAGGTGCTGTGTTCCAAACGTAATTTAATTGGGTACACTACTCGCCCTTAAGCAAAACACACTTCATTCTTACCCTACAGTTAAAATACAAACAAAGAAAAAAGAATTGGTCTAATCTTTAACTCTTGTGGAAAACTTAACAGAATAATAGATTATTTAACTACTAAACTAACTGTTCCAACATAATAACAATCCCATAAACACACCTTTGGCAAAGACAAATTCAGTAAAGCAGATTGTCTCACATGCGATCCTGGCAGTGGGAAGAGAACCCCAACATTTAGCTATAAGAGAGAGAGATGTGACAGCTTCCACAACCAGCTTCAAAACCCCAACAGCTACTGAAAGCTAAACTAAACCCTGGTTCTTTGGGAGCCTGACTCCACCCAGTCATGCTGCTTCAATTTTTCCAACTTTTAACCAAACCCTCGGCCCCATATTCTGAAGAAGGATCCACACCCGAACCATCAGCTTTCTATCTCTCTGATGCTGCCTGGCCTGCTGTGTTCATCCTGCTCTACACCTTGTTACCTCAGTCCCATAAGCTGTTTACCTTTTTGGCTTTGAATAGACAGCTTCCCACCTATGGCTCAAAACCTCTCCAAAACAAAACAGGACAAAATATGCCTCTTAAAGCAACAGGAGAGATAATATCTTCGAATTGGAGCGTTATGGGTCGATCCTAAAAACAAAGAAAGAAGTAATCGCTTTGCTGGGGGTGTACTATAGATCCCCAAATAGTCAGGGAGAGATAGATCCCCAGACTGCACCTTCCAAACCACAACCACTTCCATCTAGAAGGTCAAGGGCAGCAGATACATGGGAACACCATCATCTGCACATTCCACTCCAAGCAACTCACCATCCTGACTTGGAAATATATCGCCGTTCCTTCACTGTCACTGGGTCAGAATCCTGGAATCCCCTCCCTAAGGGACATTGTGGGTCAACACACAGCAGATGGACTGCAGCAGTTCAAGAAGGCAGCTCACCCCCACCTTCTCAAGGGGCAACCAGGGACGGGCTAAGTTTTGGGCAGCCAATGACATTCCTTAAACGAATAAGAAAAGACATTGGAAGGTGAGGGGTTCCCACGTGACACAAGTCGTTGTTGAAGGGCCCCTCACTGTGTTTTGTAGAACTGTTGTGTCAAGGTCACAGGAGATGTTCACCGATTTCCATAGCCAGCTACTTTGAGACATAAGTTAGGGTTGGAGCTTGGTCTAGGACCCTGCTTTCCCCCATCCACACCCATTTTTCATGGATGTGTGGGCCAATCAATGGCACCAGCCATCACCCATATACCATCCAGTACCATTCTGGTAAATCAAATTGATTAACTGATGTGCCTTGATCTCAACAAATTAAGCAAGTGGGTTGTGAAGTGACCTCCTGCAAGTCAGCAGAAAATAGTCACATTGCCGTGTAATTTCATATTGGTTCAAATATAATTAATTTCCAAAACTGAAAATGGAAGGGACAAAAGTTGATCCAGAATACTAAGATTAATTGTTTTTTGATTGGGTAAGTGTAGCATGGGCTAAGGTTAGGTAAAAGGCATTAAGGTGTAGGTTAGCAATGATCTATTCAAATGACAAAGCACTGTTGGGGTGAATGGGATTGTGCTTTAATCTTTAAATTGTGCTATATATGAATCATTGGATTTATTCTATTTTATTATCATTTGTCTGTGTAATAAACTGCTGTTTTATTGTTAAAGAAAATGTCTGCAGTATTGCGTGATTATCTTTCATCTCATTAAAACAAAAAAATACAAAGACAGGTTTCAGTCTGTGATCTGACTTGTCCAGTAATAACATCAGCTGGGATCATGGCACAGCAAAATGCCTGAAAATTAGTAATAAAAGGAGAAAGACAGGCAGAATCCTTTCTTTTGGCACACGGGAGGTGTTGAATCGTTTTCTGGCAGGTGCTCTGAATGAGAGACAGGGATAGCCCAGAGAAGGTTCACTTGGCTAGTATGGAGGGACTGTCTTATGAGGAGGGGTTGAGGACCTGTACTCATTGAAGTCTAGAAGAATGAGAGGTGACCTTATTGAAACATACACCATTCTTAGGGGCTTGACAGGGGGAGATGCGGAAAAGTTGTTGCCCCTTGTGGAAGAGCCTAGGACCAGAGGTCATAATCTCAGAATGAGGGGTTGATGAGGAGGAATTTCTTCTCTCTGCGGGTAGTGAATCTGTGGAATTCTTTACCACATAGGGCTGACGGGGCTGGGTCATAGTATATTCAAGGCTGAGTTAGACAGATTTTTAATCAGTAAGGGAATCGAGGGTTATGGGGAAAAGGCAGGAAGGTAGAGTTGAGGATGATCGGATTAGCCTTGATCTTATTGAATGGTGGAATAGATTTGATGGGCTGAATGGCCTATTTCTGCTCCAATGTCTTGGAACGGGTAATGGCAATGGAGCATGAAAGGATTGAAAGTTGAGGGTAGGTTTGAATTTAAACTTGGTCAGATTGAGAAGCTAATGGCCATGGGGCTGACTCGTTCATTAATATGAGGCCAGTTGCCAGTTTAAAAGGGGCTCTTCTATTGGCTGCTCCAAACTCCGCTTTCAGTGTGAAGTAATTTTTTATGTAAATGAGTGTCACGTGACATATGAGACCCCTCCCTACCCTTGGCTACCATATTGTAATCCATTATGAACTCTCCAACTGGTTTCACTGGCAAAGTGGAATCAAACACCCAACAGTGAGCAACAATGAGAAAGCTCCAGCTCTGAGCTACACAACACAAATCCAACCAATCAGGAGGCTGCAATGACCTTGTTTGCAGTCCACAGTGTCGAGGATGGGAAGTGAGGTCAGAGGCATGAGGTGAAACTGGGACTGGGAATATGTGGGGAGGAAGGGTTGGGATATGGGGGAGGGTGGGTTTGGGTACACTTGGGGAAGGTTGATTTGGGAATATGTGAGAAGGTTCATTTGGGATTATGGATTAAGAATGAATTTGGGAATTTTTAATTTCACGTTCACTCATGGGATGTGGGCATTGCTGGCTGGCCAGCATTTATTGCCAGTCCCTAGGTTGCCCTTGAGAATGTGGGGATGAGCTGCCTTCTTGAACCGCTGCGTTCCTCCTGCTATGGGTTGACCCACAATGCCCTTAGGGAGGGAATTCCAGGTTTTTGACACAGTGAATTAGGGGAGGGTGGGATTGGGGAAAATGGGGGAGGGTTGGATTGGGAGACATAGGGGAGAGTAGAATTAGGGATATGGGGGAGGGTGTGATTGGGGGGTTCGGGGGAGGGTGGGATTGGGGGATATGGGGGAGGGTGGGATTGAGGGACATGGGGAGAGTAGACTTGAGGGATATGGGGGAGGGTATGATTGGTGAATATGGGGGAGGGTGTGATTGGGGGATAAGGGGGAGAGTGGGATTGGAGGATATGGGGGAGGATGGGATTGAGGGATATGAGGGAGGATGGGTCTGAGAGACATGATGAGACAGTGCAGAAGGATGATACTGAGAGAAGGAGTGTGGTACCTGATCTGAGCGACACACTGGTCCAAGCTGTTGCTGATTTGCATGAGCCAGCCTTGCTGGTGTCGTTTAGTCAGAGCTGCCTCATCGACCTGAAAATGAAAGGTTAAAGTTTAGGGTCAATTTGTCAGATTGTCTTCAGTCAATCAAATTGATTTACTGAGATCCAATGGATCCCTATTAAAGGGGAGACTTTTAATGTTGATTTTTCTGAATCTCCTGACCAGGTCAACACACACAGTTCCCAATCGTTTTCAGCTAACCCCTGCTTGTTGGTGTTTGTGTTTTAGAACACGGGCAGACACTAAATCCAGATGCTGGAAATCTGAAATAAACTCAGAAGGGGATTCTGGAAAACCTGAGCAGGTCTGGCAGTGTCTGAGGAGAGAGGAATGGTTAATGTTTCATGTCAATGACCTTCAGTCAGGACAGGGAAATAGGAGTGAGGTAATGGGGACAGGGGAAAGGGTAGCAGAGAAAATAAATCCGAAAGGAAGATCAGCGAGAAGGCAAGAGAAAGTGAAGGATGGAAAGGAAGTTGGAGGAGTGTGGAGTACTCAATCAAAACTCAGTAAAGCCCCTCTGCTCTTGACACTTTGTAGTTCTCTGGACCCTACATTGTGTTCAACAATTTCACATCATTAGCAGCAGAGACAGGGTGGGCCAAATAATCTCCTTGTGTGCTATAATCCTCCTGAGTTTCTGTGAAACTCTGCCTCGGGTTTTCCCGGCCAGCTGCCGCTGTTAACGATTTCGCTGCTGATCAGAATTATTCTCTATGTTCATGGTCATTCGTTGGCATCTAGGGGCTATCAGTACAAGGCAGTCACTGAAACAATCCAAGCCGAAATGTGAAGGAATCCTTTTCATGCTGACACTGGGGAGACTGTGAACTCACTCCCACAAGGATTGCTCGAGGTGTTCTAAGGAAGGGTCACCGGACCCGAAACGTTAACTCTGTTTTCTCCTCCACAGATGCTGCCAGACCTGCTGAGCTTTTCCAGCAACTTTGTTTTTGTTACAGAATTCTTCCAGTGCTGAGTTTGACCATTCGGCCCATTGTTTGGGAGCTGGTTCTTCTATTCACTCATACATCTCACCTGCTTTCACCCCACACAGCCTTCCATTTCAACTAAAAATCCCAATTGCTCCTGAATGGCCCAATTGAACTCACCCCCACGACACTCCCAGGCAGTGAGGTCTGGATCCTAACCGCACACCGCTTCAAAAAGGTCACAGAATCACAAAATTGTTATGGTACAGAAGGAGGCTATTCAGCCCATCATGTTGGTGTGTTCACTGCCCCGTGGACATGTGTTGGTGTGTTCACTGCCCCGTGGACATGTGTTGGCGTGTTCACTGCCCCGTGGACACGTGCGTATACGTTAGTGTATTTTATGAGGATTCCTTTCACTGGAACCGCTTGATTGTAAACACCTCAACTAGATCATCCCTTAACACTGAGCTGGAGTCAAGGGAACACAAGCCTCTTCTTTCTCACCTGTCCTGATAAATTAACCCATTTAACCTCAGCATCACTGTGAGGAATCTGCCCTGCTCCCTCTCTGGGTCAGTATCTTTCCCTATCCGTGGGGAACAGAAATGAACCCAATTCCTCCCAATGGAGTCTGACCCTGTCTCTGTACAGTCAATGGGGCTGTGACTCCATACTACTCCCACACTACTCTCACACTACTCGCACACTACTCCCACACTACTGCCACACCATTCCCACACCACTGCCACACTACTCCCACACTACTTGACACTACTCCCACACTACTCACACACTACCCCCACACTACTCACACACTATTCCCACCACTACTTGACGCTACTCCCACACTACTCCCACACTACTCCCACACTACTTCACACTACTCCCACA